CATTTTCCCGCTTTGAGTGAAGAAAAAGACAAAAACAAAATCCCACACACAGACTTTGTAAAACCTTAAAATCAAAAGATGCATAGCTCAGAATGGTCTCACGTCACAGATAAACATTATTGTATGCTATAGTGCAGTATTGTTAACACCACACTCGGTGTGATTAAAATGCATTGTTGGTTCTTTGTAGTACATTTAAAATCAAACGTTTCCAAGATTTGCTCCAAAAATGTTCCCTGGATGTTGGTTAGTTTTTATACAGTGCAATAAAAGCTTTAAATCCCCACTGTGATTCTCAAACACTGGTGATGACTCAGCTGTAGTTTAATACTCATTATTGCCTGTTAGTCCCAGTTACTCTGAATTAGGGGGATTCCCTGGTTGTTTCTCATAACCTTTTAAAAAACCTCCCAAGACAGTGAGTTTACTTTTACATGTTTTAAGCAATGCCCAGTGCTTATAAGGTGCAATGTGCTTCCAGTTTTCTAATGATTTACTCTTTTCTTTCTATTTTGGGAGGGGGTTGATATTATGAACTTGTTCTACCTCTAACAGATATGTGTCTCAGTGGACAGGAAGCTGTTTGACAGGCCCAGTGTAGAGGCCCCGAGGAAATGAGAAAACTCCTCCGTCTCTTGTCGCCCAGCTGTCGTCTTGTTGAGTTTACACACAGAAATTAAACAACAGCCGTCTGAGTTCATTATGAACAAATAGATTTCCCTGTCTCCGGCTGACCTTGGGGAAATTTTTGCACCCATCACAGGGTGGCTGTTCTCTCGTTTATGTTTTATTGAGTCTATCGATTACTGTTTCAATCTCATGCCCTTTCTTTTTCTCCTTGCCTCTCCGTCTTGTCTTACCTTACTCTTAATCACAGATACACACACAGACACACAGACCTTTATAAGCACACTGTAAGTACACACCTACACAGGCAACACAGCGTTTAAAAGAAAGTTAATAGGCTGTAGATACTGTAGGATGTGGGTAAGGAGATGTGTGTAGGAAAGGGATTACGACTCTAAATCTCTCATGCGGGGGCAAACAAACTATTATTGCACGTTACCGCCTCACTATCCAGGATCTGTCAAGCCCTGATGTCCCATTAATATATTCTCAAAACACTTTCTCACTTCTTCAAACAACAACAACGACAACAAAGATCATCTTAATATGTCTTCTGGTTTCCTCTCTCTTCGTGCTCCTCCAGCTGCCATCATCTCACTTAACTTTTACATTCAAGAGCAAAACTATAGTTTCACTCAACAGCTGCATTCAGTCGCTTTCATTGCACTTACTTAACGTCTCTTCACCTCTCACCTCACACGCATTGTAAAAACTTACTTTTCCATTTAGGTCTTCCTGCCTTACATTCAACTTCTACTTCAGTCTCAACATTCAGCATCAGTCTACTCCACATTCTCTGCTCTTGTCTGTCTACTTGCATTGTCACTGTCCTTACCAACAACTTACTGTGGCATTTTTTAGCATGATGATAGTTAGCACTGGACGCTGTTTGGGATTAAGAAATCTCTGGAGGAATGTAGTTCTTTCCTATATTTAATATGATAAAGTGACAGACGTTAGTCACAGTGACGGGTCGATTCTATAAGTTGACTTAATTTTTATCAGCTTTAATGCACTGTGAAGCAGAGCTGCATCAATTAGGGGATTAATTGATTGATAAAAAATAAATGTGCAACAAGCAATGTGGTGATTTATTACCTTTCATTGTTTTTAGATTTTCACTGAAAAAAATTTAAAAATTATGATTTTTGTTGGTCTTGTCGTCTCTGAAGCACCACAACACTTATGGTGCCAACAATGACTCACTTTTAAAAATTGCAGTTCCTGCGTTGTGGATTCTATACTAATGAATGATTGTGCAGCCCTGTTTTAAATCATTGTGAGGTGAATATCTATGGGCTTTGGACAAATTAAGACATCTGAACACATCCCTCTGGGCTGTGGGACATTATAGCACACTTTTTTTTCCCGCCACTTTCTGACATTTTATAGACAAAAGAATTTATTGAGAAAATATGGTAAAAAAAAAAAAGAAGCAGATTAAAGAAAAGTGAAAATAATTGTTAGTTACAGCCCTACTATATGGACTAAGAGAAAAATGCCATAACGTCTTATTTTGGAATGCCAGAGTCCCTTGCTGTCACTCAGTCACTGCTTTGCACCTCCAAGTGCTTTCTTTATATAGAACGGACTTAGGATCAACACTGAAATGTGAACTGGCATGAAGAAGCTCCAGATGGAACACAAACACTGAAAAGTGTATGAGCACTGACAGCTAAAATAAGCCTATATCATTGTATACTACCTGCTGTGCTCACACTTTGTGCTTAGTAACGCACAGTTAGAAACCGCACTGGGATGAAACCAAATTCACTGGGAAAAGGGCAAAAATAGAGATTTATAAGTGTACAATGCAAAATCCGCTACAAGGACAAATATCCAAAATTGAACTGAATGATATTCCCCCTGGAAAAGCCCAGAAAATTAAAAGACTTAAAAAAAACTTAATGGAAAAAAAATGCAAAGCCCTCCAACTAATTTCCTCCATAGACCCCCTGTCAGAAATAGCGCACAGTGCCTTACATGCTTCTTTGTCTTACATTCATTATCATATCCACATGCTGCATAAAACCCTGCCAAGAATCTTGCTTACTTTACTGCAGAAAGTCCTTATCAACATTCCTCAAGAATACACCTGCTAATCCTTCACTCTCTCTAAATAACTGCCTCCATGCACTGACCTCTTTACAATTCAACACACAATTTCAGACTTACTTTCACCCTCATCACAGCACATTCACAAAGCCTCTGTTTCACATTCTGTAAGCCATCTTCACATTATGTTACCATTAAAATGAGATGCCCTCCCCAATGCACTGAACGTGATTTTTAGCTGCCATAATGAGCATTTTTACAGTTCCACATCTCCCAACACTGCTTTTCCTGACACAGTAACAGACTTCCTGCTGTCCATGTTTGTTGGTGGTATCCATGCACGTTCACTTTGACTGAACATTGCGGTGACATTTTTTTCCCCCCTCAGCAGCTTACCAGAGCGGACAGCACCCAACAGCAGACAGCACTGAAATAACCTGACAGCTCCCATTTAGAAGCCTCAACTTCCATCAGCTCATGGCTTATTTTTCTAACGAGTCTCCCTGATTGGTAAACCCAGTGCAAATCAAAACAATAGGAAACAGCATCTAAACAAAATGTTAGATTAATGGAAGTACGTTCTGTCAGTTCAGTCCTCGGGAGGTTGCCCAGAGATCCTCCTCCCTGATGTTTGAAAACTTCTGACTCTTTAAAGTCAGTAAAAATGGTATAAAAGACGGATGTGTCCCCCACGTATCACCTGTTCACAGACACCGACATATCAAAGACACATAGGACACGTCAGAGGTTACGTGCAGCGTCTCTATCTAACCTCTGTACACTTACACACAGAATCTGACGGGGCATCTCTACTGTAGAAGACATCCGCACACACGGGTTAAAACACAATCACACCAAGACATTCGCCCAGACAACTACATTTCTGAGGGTGATTCTTCCACAAGGTGATGTGATAAAGCTAGTGAGTGGATAAGCTGCCAGACATCCTCAGAATAACAAGTGCTCCAGCTCAGAGGCTCCTCTGGCTTTGATGTTTGGCTTCAAACCTGGCTTTATGCTGACAGCAGATGCTGAGTGAAGTATACACACAGCTCCTTTTTCATGTGACTTCAGTTCAGATCCACCCTGGATTTAAAACATGACCCAGTTGTTCATTTGTAGCTTTTAATGAGCTAGTGCAATAATAAGTGGTCACCTGGTAGAGAAGAGAGGCTGGAGGAGTGTGTCGCTCACTCTCTCACTCATTCACATGCTCATTATTATTATTTTTTTATTCTGGTTTGTTGGTAAAAATATTGCTCAGGCTTTTTGATCCTTTTAATAGGAGCCTGGATTAAACCTGTAGTAATTCCACATCTATTTTATGGCTCATCTTCCCAGGAAGAATAGTTATTTTATTTTATGTGGTACTTTTGCAGGCAGCGCCTCTCTTGTGAGCTTCATAAAATTTCCATCGTACTCTGAAATCCAGATTTTGTCAATATCAGGACCATAATTTCTAACACTTTCACCACCATGCTTTTGTTTTGATCTTCTGTTTTCAGCACTATTATCATCTTAATCATATTTTACAGTCAGAGTTTCCAAACCCATGTCTTTTTCCCTCTGGCTGTCATAAATCAAATATTAGTTCCTTCAAACAAAAAAACAAAAACAAAAGAAAATTTAGAAGTTTAAAAGTTGACGTCATAAACTTCTCTTTAAAACATTTTGTGTGCACAGTTTCTCATCCGCTCGTCTTGCTCCGCTGACCCGACCCGACCCGGGCTTCCTGCAGATATCTTTCCTCTCTGAGCTCTCTCATCTCACTTTGCGCTTTAGTTGACCTTGGTGATTAGCTTAGCTGGTCGGCAGATGGTGGGTGGAAAGCTGGCTGAGCCACACTGTCACCAACTTTAGGGCTCAAGAGGGGGGCCCATGGGTGAGGATTATGGTGCCGAGTCAGCGCTGGAAATGCGCGAGTGGTGAATATACGGTACAATAGAGCAGACGGTGGTGGGCATGGGAGAAAAGATGAAATTGTCAGCAGGACAAAGAAGCTTGAGTATGACAGAAATGAAGGAGACTGTGCATTAACGAAGTCAAAAGGGGCAGAGAACAGTGGGAGGGGGAGGTGGTAGTAGTTCTGTCTTGGGCGCTGGGCTGTCTTTCTGTGGTGACAGGTGAGGGGGGGACTCCTCTCTCAGGCCTTCCTGGCTGCTGATGGACTACTGACCCTTTATCCCTCAGCATCTCGTAGTGCACCTCTGGAAAGTGGTGGCCAGTGAGGGCCGCTCCCTCAGCCACCCTCAGTGCATAATTGGTGTCTGTGTTCCCAGTGTCACTGCTGCCCTTTGTCCCACCCCCAGTCTCCTGTGCTATGAGGCATCAGCCTTGGGAGCTTCTTTCTGTCCATTCTTTAGGGAAGGCGAATCTGAAGTTTTCACTGTCTTCCGAGGAGGACTCACTGGTTCACTGGCGAGCTCATGCAGTGACGGCTCCTTATACATCGCAACTATGAGACAAAGATAGAAGCTGTTAATAATTAAGGAGGTGATGAATAACTAAGATAATCAGGTTTGAATTGTGCTGAAGTGACATAAAGGACACAAACCCTCGATAACTTTAGGCAGGAAGTGAGCAGCTCCTTTGGTCTTCTTTACCCGGTTGCCCTTCATGACCTGGCCGTCACGATTGATACCGATATACCAGGAGCGGCCAGACTGGGTCTGGCGATACAGCATGGAGGAATACGTAACGTAGTAGTTCTCAAACACACTCTCCTTGAACTTACACTCTGGAGTGAAGTGCTCCTGGAAAGCAGAGGGAGAGAGAAAAACCACGTCATCGGAAAACTGTAACTGTTAACATGAACTCCAGTACGTGTAAGTACACAGGAAATACATGGACACAAGCAGTGAAATACATTAATTAAATTAATTAGGTGACTGTTTCCTGAGGGAAAGGATGGATAGAATTATATCTGGACTTGTGTTTCTCTGAAAGCATGAACATCTTGCTCCTTTGGGAACAAGACAAGAATGCAAACTATACAATGAGATACAGCATTAACATCTCCGCTAAACATAACACACTCCCAAAGGAAAAGAGTGGGAAAGATGAAAAGCACTGAAACACTGACACCTACTACAATACCATAACAAATTAAATCTACACACATACATTAAAAACTACACAAATAAATGACTCATTCTAACATCAAACTGCTTCAGAGGCATCACAAGTTCAGAAGATAAACCTGCTTTAATGAAAAACCAGCTGATGGGCTCAGTCTTTAGGAAATATGTAGGTTGGATTTTGTTATGAACAAAATTCCAATAAATAACACTAATAGAATTATTTGCATATTTATTTGTTGTGTGTATCATGGCATCGTGTCGTTATTCCTGTAAGAGTTTCATATGTTATTGCTTCATGTATAGTGACTTTAGTGAATACATTGTGTACCATGGACAGCCAAGCTGTCAGTGTTGTAGAAGAGCATTGCCTGCTTAAGGGAAACATTGTGGTTTGGGTTAAAATGACCTTGTAGTGAAGGTTATGGGACCTGCGTCAGTGTTAGCACCATCAGTGATGTGTTGCTACAGAGACGTCCCAGCCTTCAAATCATTTTCTCCACACGTAAAGAAACATGTTTGTTTGTTACAAGACCAACAAAAATCACATCATCATCATTTTTATATATTTTCAGTGAAATTAAAAAATGACATTCCATCTGAAATCTGAATATCTGCCAAAATAATCGCAAATTTGCAATAAAAAAAAGAGTGGTCATGCTTTTAAAAAAGTGACTGTTGGTGCAAGCGCTCAAGCCTCATAGACTTCAAAGACCTGTGATCAGTGGTTGTAAATAGAAACTGCTTTATTTATATATATATATATATATATATATATATGCATGCTAGAACTGATACCTTGGGACTTTCGGTTCTGTAGAAAATAAAATAGCGGCAGAATTTTCAAAGGTACAAGAGATGTGATTCTTTCAGGACTGACGAGGGCAGTATAATGACTCTACGAGCGTCCTAGTCTGACATCACACTTGAAGAGAGGAAGAAGGCAGGCACAGTAAACACAAAAAACACGTGGAATGGAAAATATACGCCAAGACTGTTGTATGGAAATATTTCACATTTACTGATGATCATCGGGGACCAGTTATAGACGGTATGCAAATGGTGCCACAAAGCGTTTCAAATAAAAGGAGGAAACACCTCAAATGTATCTAAGCAGCTCAAAGACAGTGATCTGGATCTGTTCATAGAACTCAGGCTGACTGAGTTTCAGTTCACTGTATATTAACATTAACGTTATTAACGTCAAAATGTGCATGTCCTGAAATGTTACTGTTATTGTTCTTGAATTGCGAAAGCTGGTGTCTGTTGTAGCAGTGCTCCACACACAATGGTCATAAAGGCTAACGTTAGCTTGTTTAGCTCCTAACGTCAGCTGGGTGCCTGCGACCATCATCACCATTCAGTCTGCCAAAATATAGGAATATTGATTGGAATCAAGCAATGTAGAATTTCTGGTAACGTACATCCCAAGTCAAAGGAAAAGGTTGGGAACCTCTAAATTAGCCGATTGAACACCAGGTCATGTTGAACACCAGAAAAAATCTTCCTCCTTCCTTCCACCAAAAGAGAATTATCCCTTTAATATAGACTGCTCTCATGTACTGTCAATCGTCCACGACTGGCTAAATCTGAATAGACATTAGAAAATCTAATTATCAGAACTTGGATTCAGTCCAGCCGTTCAGCTAGTCGTTGTAAGTGATCACTTTCCTGCAGCACTTCCCCTGCCTCTCTGTCCTCAACATAAGGACTACTGAACCCTGCATAATGTTGACTGGTGATATTAACCAAGAGCGACAGATATACATCTCTCTTAGTCTCCATCAGGGTCTCGACAGGGTCCTTCCCCTGTCAGAGAGCAAAGCCAATCTGCTGGATTGATTAAGTGAGAGCAGCAGGGCAGAAATGGCTGAGTGGAGAATTTCACTGAGACTCAGGACGACAGAAGAGGGCCAGAGGATCACAACTTGGCATAGGCGGGCTTTAATAAAGAGCCAAAAGTAGATTGAGAAGGCATAAGAGACCTCCAGTTTCACACTTATCACAGATCATCACCTTTCCCCTTCACTGGGAGGCATCATCTTTAGCTGAAATGACAGTTCAGGACTTTGTGCCCTTTCTTCATCCACTCTTGTCCTTCTGCTCCACCACAGTTTATGCCCGTTTAACAACTGTCTTCCACCATAAAAAACAAGCCTCTACCCTTAACTCAACAAACTCTCCCACTCCCATCACCACCACATCGCAGAGCTATTTTAAGATCCTCTGACAGGTTTGATATCTTCTGCTGTGCTAACACAAAGAGGATGAGATCGATAGATGATCCGCTTCATTCATTATTAATCAGGCCAGAGAGCAAGAGGGTGGGAAGTGCGGAAGACAGAAGGGGAAAGGTAGGAGAGGCGGGAGAGAGAGAGCAGAAGATCACTCGGAGAGGACAGAGGGGTTGCTGGGTAATAAAGGAGATTAGTAAGAGAGAGAAAGGGGGAGACCTGCTTCATTGCATCTCCCCCAGGACCAAAACACTGGGCCGACGAGGGCCACGATCTGACACTCATGTCTCTGGAAAGAGTAGCCATCACTCCAGTAAAATACCCTTCAGCTCCACTTCTGAAATGACACCAATGATAACCCCTCTCCCAAGTCATCCTATAATTACCCTTCATAATCAGTCCCCTGAAATTAGCCTAATGACGAAACCCACATCTTCTGTGTTTCATTCAATATCTCCAAAGGTCTGAAGAAAGGAAAACACTGAGAGCAGGCAAGACAATGAAATAAACCTCCTTATATTACAGTGAGTTTTCATGATAAAGGCCAACATACCTGTCTGTAGCTGATACAGACATCATACTGTAAATATCTCCATCTCTGACCTTGAGGTAACCCCCGGATCTCTGCAGAACTACAGAGACCACCCAGGGCGTACTCACTCCAACCACTCGATTTACCTGTGAAGTTAAATAATTGCTGAAGATGTGTTGAGTGTTGCACATTTCTAAGAGTGGTGGCAGAATGTTTCCACCTAAATGGTGAGTGCTCATACTAGAAATGAAATAAAAAGCTCCTCCTCAACCATGACTTAGGGAGCGACTTGGGTCTCGTCCCTTCCATGTGTCTCAAGCCAAAAAATGAATTTAAATGAAAGCAGACGAGAAAGGTAATATGTGGCGCCCGTGCTGAGAATCCTCAAGATGTGAAGAACCTTTTTATGATGCAGAGCACCATCCCAACTGCCCCCCGCCCCCCACCCAACACACACCACCTCCTCCTTCATCCCTCGTGTCTGATTACATCTATTCTACCTGCTTCAGGAGGCTTAACTCTCCATGCAAACATACACTGGGATTGCACTTACTACTAAATAAGGACAGTGAAGTACTAATAATACACACTCTGGCACTGACAGGGCAGAGTTTCCCTGAATCCTACTAATGTCTCTCCCTGCATATAATTAGGATATAAGAGCAGGAATGAAAGTTATGACTAAAGAGATGGAGAACCCATGAATAATATTGAATATCTTGTTTACTTTCACTTCACCATGCATGCACAAGCATGAAATCAGAACTAATGCCCCTGAAAATGTAGCTCTACGTCTGGAATTCAGAACATTTTTTAGCATTTCTGACGTGCAGTTATTTGCAGTCCCCTGTTTAGACAGCAGGGGTCACAGTGTCATGCAGGCTTCCTTCATCTATTGACTGTCCCATCAGCTCCCTGGGTAATCTATGGCAAGCTGTGAAATCTGCCCAGCTGCAGTAATCCCACCATATTCCCATTGTACTACATTACTGCTGCATCAAGCCACTGAAATGTAAAGCTCATTCACAACAATCCTCTGCTCCACAGACTCACATGCACATAATATGTGTGCAGTGCAGGAAGCCACCGGCAGAGCATGTTGCTGATGTTGTTGTCGAGCCAGATGTAGATGCACCATGACACGCCACGTTACGTAAGTCAATAGAGCATAGATGTGCTTATTAAAAGGGCTTTGCAGAGGATGAGACTGACAGTTAATACTGTCTAACACCACACATGTATGGTCTGTCTCTGATGCTTTATGATAGCCCAGGGAGGCATGATGCTTGCATGACAAGTGAGTGGATGATAATGTGCAGGGACTCATGCCTCTGTTGTGTTGACTGACAGCTGGAAGGCTCCTGTCAATATACAGCAGCTGAGGGAGGGGTGGTAACTGACATTCCCCTCTTCGACCCTCAGTGACAGAGGTGACCAGCTGCACGCCGCCTCTGCTTTTAATTTTCTGCCACACAGAATAAAGTGGTTGTGTGTCATCATCACTGTAGCTATTTCATATCTCTGCAAATCACAAGAGCTACACTCCTCTATAATATCCCTCAGACATATTTGGAAAGAAATCTGGTAAAAGTAGATCATGAGTCTATCAGGAAGAATAGGTTTTTCCTTCCCTAAGTGCTCTTAATTGACTGCCTGGCAAAATGTCTTCAGCTTTACGTTTCTGCACTTCATCTCTTTTCTCTTGTTCTGGCCAATTATTTTCTCTGCTACTTTTTCTAATGTCCACATTCTCTCCTTTCCTGTGATAAAAGTGATGCTATCTTGCTGCTTGTGTTGTCCTGCATCTCAATGCAATCTTCCAATGAAAAGAATAGAGAGGACATGGCTTTTCATCAAGAGGTCTCATGCTCTCTCTCTTTCTTTATCTCTTTCATGTTTGTCTGTCTATC